ACTTCACTCTGCAGGAATCTGCATTCTGAAGTTTTGTGCCCGTGATCGTTGTGAAATTCGCACCAATGATCCGGATTGCGTCTACTTGGATTTGACCGCATCTCTTTTGGCCATCGTACCTTGTCTCCCATGCTTCTTAAAACAGCTACGAGCTCGGAGGTAGAGACATTAAAGCTATATCCACCGAATCGTGCCTTTAAACTTCTGTCATCATCTCGTGATTCTTGTCTGTTCCGATCATTCCTGAACTTTGAAGAAGAGCCAGAATCCCGGTTNGCAATCGACTAACAAGTGCCTGAAGAGCTTTGCCGACCTGTGCATCAATTAGCTTTTGCAAAGCTTCAGTTGTAACTCCTTCAAAATGTTCAGATTGCTCTTGTTGATCAGTACGAGATTCAGTAACAGGAGTGCCTTCACGAGGTTGACGTGGTGAATTTAGAGGAGAGGGAACCACGTTATCTTGATTTTGATGTATTTGATTCTCATGGTTTCCCAATGTGTTATTACTATTGTTGTCGGCGTTGTTGTTTGACATGGTGACGACAATAGATAAGATATAGCTTAAAAGGAAAGATTATCAGATTCCCGGTAACGGAACCAATTTGTTTAACCAAAAATCTGAGTCTTTGGTCAAAGCTAAAAAGAAATTCGGGTTACTGATAATCAGGAGACAAAAATAAAATACTTTTGAGAATGATGGTAAAAAAGCAAATAGATGTGTATTTCAATAAATTCTCAATAGTATTCCGTGTCCTTACAAATGATGATACTTCTTCCTTTTATAGATAATTCTTGGTAAAGGAATGAAGCCTCAGCTTTAATGATATAATCATGAGTAATAAATGACATTAAATAAGCCGTTATACAATCATTCCTATTAAATACCAATTTTGTAACGTATCAAGTATTTAATAATGAATTTGGACTCCTTTCTGTCATCAGATCTTTGCCTTCAATGCCTTCTAATCCGTTGGCTGTAAATAATTTAAATTGGTACGAGACTCGTATCTATACGTCGTCTCGTGCCTATTTAAATTCTTCTTCCCGTGGTTGTCTCCATCCGTGCCTCTTAGTCAATTGCTGCGCTTTGACCATTTAACTAATCCACGTGTCATGCCACATCATCTTTAATATAAACTCAGGCTTTTCCCAATACAAAAAGGTAATTGCATTTTATATTACATTAATGGTGTAAAGAATCCATTACAGTATTGGTGCACGCCGCACATATCTTAAATTCATCAATATTTTTAATATCGTCTGTACATATAATTAACTTAAACTTTAATAAAAATAATGGTTGATCAAATCAATATTTGAAGCCTTCTAAGTTCTGAAGTATATTATGAAGTCACTGCATGCTTCTAAGTGAAAAATAACATTAAACAAGGCATATGAACTTAAAAGCATAACCAGAAAAAAAAAAAAAAAGGAAAGACATGGCCGTTAGAGCCCTCAAGCAGGGCAACTCGGAGCTCAACTAGCCTTATGGCTTTAAAATCGTGTAGCTCGATTGATAGTGCATTTCAATAACGCTAGCTCTTGATCTTGAAACGAGTCAACAGTGTTTTTGACTGTTCACAATCTTCCTTAATCAGATGTGGCATAGATTTTACGGGTTTAATGGTACTCAGTATATTTGACGCCGAGTAAACACATACATATATATAAAGTTTCAATAAATTTTACCACATGAACCCATAATTTAAAATCTACATAAGTTTAATTCAAAGAACCATACAAGTTTAACCCACTAAGTTGACTTCTAATTATTCTCTTCTTCTTTTATTATTTAGGAGTCGTGTAAGATGAAAGTCTTGTGCACGGGTTTGAATGAGAGAAAAAAGGGAAGAATCCTCATTTCGACTCTGACTCTCCCACTTCAGTAGTTGTTTTTCTTTCTCTTACTTGGAAAGCAGCTGCTTCATTCTGTCCGTAATATGGTGTTATGGGGGATTATATTATCACACCTTTGAGGATCATATTACTGTCGATTTTGTCTCTTAGACGACTTGAGTAATGAGAAAATGATAATTAGGTCGGGCGCAGAGGTAATCTTGAGAACGTTAGCAGGGGACATGGCAGCTCCCCTAAGGTTCAGGAAAGGCCAAAGGCTATCGTCATCCAACAATGCAACTAGCTAGAACAAGTCTTCAAGTTCGATCAAGGCTTTAATGTTAAGTTGGTTGGATAGGAAATTAAAGGAGGTTCGTTATGTGAATGTCATGGTCAACCCAGAAAAGCTGAGAAGAGGTTGCTTTGAAATACGTGAGAAATTGAGTTGGAAGATAGAGAGAATTAATTAGTTCATCAGCTAGCCTTCTGGATATGGAAAGGTCATTTCTTCCAAATGAAGGAGCTCAACATGCATGGAAGAAATTAATTAGGTAATCTGGCCAGCCACTGATTAGCACTAACAAGGAGGATTCCTATATGTGCATGTACAAAATCTTGCATATGTCAATACTATATGTGAATAATATTATTCGAAAAATCAAATAGTTTTATGCTTAATAACAAGGGGCGCCCCTGCGGAAAATAATGTAGTGCATACATACATGCAAGTCATCTTGATTTTTTTTTTTGTGTGCATAGAATAATGGTGCGTATGGTCAGAGGCAGACCTATGCTTGAAAAAAAGGATCGGAGTCACCATCAGATCCCTTTAACTTCGGTAAAAATTCTGAATATATTAGTGTATGTACGTTGGAAACAATCATACGCTTTGCTTGAAACCCTTAAGATCAAAAGTCCGATGGAAGCACTGGTTGAATAGTTCACTCATGTGCTCCTCCTCCCCACCCTCCACCCGGAGGCAGATTAATAGCCTAATTTATGGGGCATGTGAACATAAAGGTTGAATAGTGCACTTGGTTCAATACTTAATTACTTACTCAAAGAATAATCAAATGAATCTTTGCCTAGCCTAGTCTTTTGGATGGAGGTTTCATTAGACTGATAAAGTCATCTTAGTATATCATACTGTCACGACCCAATTTAGGATCATGACCGGCGCTCAGGAGCAAGTGCTCCCAAGTAAGCCTCATTGGTAATTTACAAAAAATTGGACAGAGTTTCCCCTGTTTTAGGACTATCCAAAAATAAATCTATCTTAGAAATCAACAACACAACCAACCTATATCGACCAAACAAGTTATAATCCTCATCCACGAAGTATTTCCAACACAATAATACTAACTTCATCTCCAAGTATACGATAGGAAAGTCTAATACGAGTCACAAGTCTATATCAATAAAAGAATAATTATGACATTCATGAAAATGACTATGGAGCGACTCGAAGAGTTTCAAGAAAGAGACTATAACAAATAAATAACAATTTTTGCCCACACGAGTAAATGCGGGGCTCACCAGGAACTATCAACTCGTGTACTCTAATTAACGGAATCCTCGCCTGCGTCTAGTGCTGTCTCTGTATAAATAATAGCGGGGAGTGAGTTGCTAGCTCAGTGAGTAATAATATTTAACCACAACTGTTTTTAATAGGGGACAAGTCAGAAAACATGTTTGTATAGTAATCAGAAAATATCATGAATAAATGCCCTTTTTCATAGATAATAAACAATAATCATTCTCACCATGTGTTTCATGTAACAAAAAAATTAATTTAACAATTCGATAATAAACTCGGTAAGCACTGTGTCATATCAATTCTTTTTTTTTTGGGAGGTTTCCAAGAAAGGATCATGTAATCTGTATCACTATGTGGACCCCTTCGTAAAATGAGTCAACTTTAATGGTAGGTCCCTACTCGAGGGAAAACTATAACTGTATGCTAGTTCTACCTTCCCACTAGCGAGGGCTATAACTGTACTCGGTAATCGGTAAATACAAGGTGCACCAGGTCTAACGAACCCGCTGTTAGANCTTGGTTCTCTATATATTTGTTCCCCTGCGTGAGGCGTTACTGAAGAAGAGCCAAGAATTTCCCTTTTTTCTTTATTCTTACGATCTTGCTGCCAAAATTCCTTTTTCAAACTTCCTTCAATCACGTCTCCTCTAATTTCCAGAGAAGGCTTGTGAAAGCTTCTTGAAAAGATGATCTTCATAGCTTTTTAAATATTTGGTTCTTTCCTTCTTTCTTCCTATTGTTGTTTTCTTTCTTCATAATTTTTTTTTCCGTCTTTCGTATGAATCTGCGTTGAGTACTCCCCGTGTTCCTTCACTCGAAAGAGAGGCACCGGTTTCACATTAATTTTTTTGGTCTCCAAAAGTGGCTGGTTAAAACTTGTTCCCCAAATCTCTTTAACCTATTTCCCTTCCCCTAATGCTATTTACGTCTCTGATGGGCTAAGGCCCACTTGTACTTTTTTTTTAATTTGCTTTTATAGTAATTAGGTAAATGCTCTTATTTTAATAAGGGGTATTGCATCCTCCTCTCCTTATGAAATTCGGTCCCTAAATTTAAATCAAGTGCATACATGGCGTAGCTTTTTTTGAGTTCCCAGGTAATCTCTTCAAGACTTTATACAATTTCTTTTTACCATAACTTTCTTAGATGCTTATAGATAATAGTCATTGGCTCCTCCTCATATTTTAACTTTTGATCAAGCAATATAGTCGGTGTATCATGTGCTTAAGAGGAATCTGATATATATTTCTTAATATACTCCATAGCTCCCACTTGGTCAAGTATCTCGTATAATCTTATAAATCCTGGATTCGTCTACCCTCTTTTTCCTATTTGCACCACCTCTTTCACAGGGGAGACTCGTAAGATCAATGAGACTCTAAATATAAACTCTAAGTTTATTTTTCTCTTATCTGCACAAGAGCTTTGTGATGTGAGCAATCTTTGTCTGAATCAATTGAACTTATCAATCATTTCTTATACCAAGTCTAGTCCTAATACATTTTTTTTCTATAAGTATACCTTAGAGTCACCAACTTAAAATAATCCAATAAGAGAATACCGCCTTATGTACAAGGTTTTATATGGATCCCTTTGCATGCTTCACTACAAGCTCTTGTTATAAATAAACTCAGGTAAAAAGGTAAATAAGCATCGCAACTATCCCAAAAATGAAGAATGCAAGCTCTCAAAGTATTCCCCAAGATCTGTATACAACAATAACAACAATCCATTATAATCCCACTAGTGGGGTCTGAGGAGGGTAGTGTGTACGCAAACCTTACCTCTACCATGGGTTAGAGAGACTATTTCCAATAGATCCTCAGCATCCTTCCCTCCAAGAACTCCCACCTTGCTCGTGGGGTGAATCGAACTCACAACCTCTTGGTTGGAAGTGGAGGGTGCTTACCATCAGAGCAACCTACCTTGTCGCCCCAAGATCTATATAATACGCCCAAATTACCGTCTGCCAGTGGATAAAGTGCATTATAAGGATCCCCTCGTGTACCCAATGCTTCTGGGAAAGATTTTCAAAAGCATAAAGTAAATTAAGATTTTCT